AATAGTAAAACAAACATAAACAACTATTATACAATATAGTAAATATTTATTTAGATAAACGTAAAGGTTAAAACATGTTTTTTAATTCGCGGTAAAAGATTTATTAGAGTTTAGCACATAAGATAAATTCGTAACAAAATTCATATACCAGTAAATGGTACTCGTTACAGCAGCGAAGTAATTTTAGCAACAGATATGTAGGCTGAGCCTTGACATATAGCAACCACAAAAGAATCGGCGATAGCGCAAAGGGCAGCTACCCTTAACCAAGACACGACTCTCTTGTTTGGCAGATAGCACTTGTCTCTTCGACGACTAGGCAGCCTTCACCCCTACTGGATAGAACGACTGTCTTTGATGACTAAGCAGTCTTCATCCTTACTGGATGGAATGATTGTCTTTGATGACTGAGCAGCCTCCACTCTTATTGGATGGAATGACTCTCTGTTAATGGGCTAATTATACGGGGAGAATTAAAACATGAAACATGGACGACGAAAAAACAAAATAAGAGCCGATTGAGCATCGCAGAGGGAAGAATTATTAGAGAAATATATAAACCTGTTATCGATAATATTACAAATCAATACAGATTGCGAAACAACCGCGAACTAATTGATTATTATGACCAACTAGATAAAGTAAAAACATAACTAACATCTTATACGTAATACCTTGTAAAAATAATATTGTACATTTTTAAGAACGAACTCCTATTTGAACATTGAAGCGTCAAATAAAATATGTAGTACATAATAAATATTGTGGCATATTTCTTTCATTCTATCCAAAAAATAAAAAAAAAATAAAGTCAGACATATTGAGATGGATTACTGAATACTATTATAGGATACAAGTAGTTTGAGCTACCAGATATTTAAATACATTAAAACTTGGTGTGAACATTTTGGTTAAAAGAATAAATTTGATTTTTATATTACACATGTAGTTGACGTTTCTTTCTCCAAATTCTTTTTTAGAGTTCTTTTCTAGACACGTACTAAACAAATTTTGTTTATATTGCAGTTTCTTCTTTTTGTAGATTTAATAGTGATATGAGGATATCAGTTAGCTACATATACATAAAATACAAATAGACTGACTGTTGCAATACAGGTCCGTTTCCCCAGTGCGACAGAGAAAACTGGCGAAAAGCAGTCCCGCATCTCTTTCTAATTTGCCAGGTTTATCGAACTCGTGACCTAAATGACCAATGAGAAGGTCACGTGGTCGATAAACCCGTCCCATTAGAAAAAGATACAGATATTGCTTTTCGTCAGTTTTCTCTGTCGCATTGCGGAAACGTGAATGTATGGCAGTATTCAGTCTATTTGTACTATATGTCTATGGTTTGCTACATGCATTTTCGCTTTTATCTTTTATGTGACAAAGTTATCAGCAATATCTAAATAGCTCCAATCCTTCAAAAGTATATGGTTTTATTGTTACATTAATGCTCCATTCTATATCATACCTTTTGTCTGTTAATGAACTTTTACTGGATGGAATTTCTTGTTATTGACTATAACACCGTTTTTTTATGCTAAAAGCATTATTCAATATATTAAATTGTGTAATTTCTCTGGCTGCTGACGAACAGAAGTTTTTATTAACTTTTCTTTAATATAATTATGTATGCAGATTTGTATTTTGATCTTCTCACGGTGCGAAAGAGCAAATGTAATAGTTTATTGTATTTTTCCATAAGATTTCTAGTTTTTCACTGTGTCGTGGCTCCTCTTATTTCTTTTCCTACGATTTACATTAATTCATTTAATTATTATTTCTGAAATTTCAAGTTTATACACAGTTTCTTTTGTTCCGCTTATTTATCTAAGATATGTTATTCATTCTTATCTATCTATCTATCTATATAAGGATTCGTCGCCGCCTTCCTTCTTTCAGCCAACGTCTCCAGTCCTGTCTGTTCTGCCATTCTCCATCTCTAAGGTCTCGTTTTTCCATGGCCTCGTCCACTTCATCCCTCCATGATCTTCGGGGTCTACCGAAGATCATGGAGGGATGAAGTCTTCGGGGTCTTTTTCTCCTTCCTATTGGGCTCCAATCCAAAATCCTTGCTATCCACCTTGTATGATCTGTTCATTCTTATCTATAGATGTGCTTATTCCCTATCAATTATCTATCAATATTTGAAGTCTTTTTTTATTTGTTTTAGTCATTGTAATGATTCGCATCCGTACATAAAAATAGGTCTAAAGCTTGTATTATGCTCTAAACTCCTTCAGTGGTAGTATTACCAACTGCGATTATTGTTCTAAGATATTTAATGTCTTCCATACTTTAGAAATTGAAATTGTTGACTTTAACGTTGTATCTAGATTTACTGACGGTCTCTTATGTTTATGCGCTGGTATTTGGTTTTCACTTCGTTGATTTTACTTGAAACTTTTTTCGTGCTCTCTGGACTTTTTTCAGTATGTCGTTTACATATTTATAGATGTAATCATCAGCATAACTAGGAGCTGCTTTATACCTTGGGCCGTTAATGGATTACATCGTAAATTGGCGCTGTTTCTATTTTAATAAATTGTTCTTTAATTTTTTGACTATTTAAATCGAGAATCTGTATTTTATTCGACTGTTTATTAAGGCAGAGTTTCTTGGGGCCAATTTCTCTCTCTCAAAGTTTTTGTTTCCCGTATCAATATTACAACAATTTTGCTGAATGCCGACATAGGAAACCCGTTGGTATGTACATACTCTTTCGATATCTTTTTGTCTCGTTATAAAGTGAATATTAGTTTATTAGGAAATATGATATTGTCTAATAATGGTTAAGTTGTTTTGATTTGCTTTCTCAGACTGCTACCGTCGTGCCTTCTGGTATTTGATATTTCAACCGTCAAGCAACAATTCTTATATGCATTAACTTACTGCTGATATCCTGCTTCCCCAATCCAGTTAGCAGTCCCGAAACCAATAAAATTGCTACATTCAAGTTTTCTATTAAGCTGCCCAGAACTATAGGTACGCCTTATTATCTTACTGATGTTAGTGCTGCCCCTTATAAGTGAATAAAATATGAAAGGAAGGTTTTGGTAATTTAATAAGATCCTTGTGTTACAATATAATGTCTCCGAGAAAGTAAAGTAATATCAAAACGCTATTCGGATTTAATCCATAGCTAAAATATTAGAATGCTATAAAATAATGCTATATATTAGCATTAATAAGTTTATAATGGATACTAAAGTTTGAAAATAATTAGAGCAAGTAATTTAAATTATCAAAGTGCTTATTAAACATAAAAATAAAATAAAATTATATTAACAATTTATATTATAATATATTTAAAAACAGTAGCCAAATATTCTTGGAATTCCTCGACGACTAACCTGGTGGATATTTAAATAAATTTTAAGTTCTAAAATGTACCTGCTCTAAAATTTGAAAATCTACGACTAATACAACTACTGGCAACATCGCAGGAGCTTAGTTGTGTACGCTAAAAGCTGTATACGGATCCCAAAAATGTTTTATTCAGTTACGGAGTCCACTTGATCCGACGTGTTGGTCGGAGTCTACATAAAGCGCTACTCAGATAATAATATACACGGCGTATATTCTCCTGGAGTTAGTATAATACCGTTTTAGTACGGTGCCCACATTAACCGCTAGAAGTATATATATATATATATGTATATATATATAGATAAATAAATATATATATATATATATATATATATATATATATATATAATATATATATATAAATATATATATATATATATATATATATATATATATATATTTATATGTATATATATATATAGATAAATATAAAATATATATATATATATATATATATCTCCAAGGCAGACGAAGACCTTTTGCTTATATTTGAACGAAGGATCCTGAGAGGAATATTTGGTGGCATCTGTGAAAATGGTGTTTGGAGGAGGAGATACAACTACGAGGTATACAACAGATATAAACAAATATTTGGTGGTAAAGACGTAGTATCTCTTATAAGAATAGGAAGATTAAGATGGGCAGGACATAGCAAGATCACAGCAGAACAATCCTCCTAGAAGAATCCTTATGTCACAACCCGTGGAAAGCAGAAAAAGGGGTAGGCCAAAACTCAGATGGAAGGATTTTGTAGATGAGGATGGTAGAAAGATAGGCGCAGCAAACTGGCAACGGTTGGCAATGGATAGGACTGCCTGGCGTAATAGACTTGGGAAGGTCGAGGCTCTTTCATAGGGCTGTAGCACCATTGATGATGATGATATATCAATATATATATATATATATATATATATATATATATATATATATATATATATATATATATATATATATATATATATATATATATATATATATATTATATGTATATATATATAGATATATATTATATATATATATATATATATATACTCATATATTAATATATATATAAATACCGCCGGCCTGAGTGGTGTGGGCGGGAGGTCGCTGAAGTAGGGGTCGCCATGTTGCCGGCAATCGTTTCGCGTCATCGCGCGTATTTAAGCTGTTAGGCCGTTTTCCCGATTTCGATAGACCACGTCAGTTCAGACCACGTCAGCCCATACCGTACGCGCGCGTACAGCGAGTATAAAAACACCGACACAGGGTAAGACCGGTTGTCACTCGGCACTGAGGAGTCGGCAGATTGAGACCTTAGTGCCGAGAGATAGTTCTTGTATTTATAATACAGAACACGATACTGGTACGTTTCGAGTGAGGAAAGTACCCGAACCGTATCCCTCTTGATAATGGCTCCAAAATGGGAGCCGAAACGTCGAGCATTAAATTCTCAACGCGTTTCTTCCTGAGAACCTAGTGATTTTCATATAATATATATATATATATATATATATATATATATATATATATATATATATATATATATATATATATATATATATATACAGAGAAAGAGAGCTAGTTTAGTTTTATATCAATACATTAATTAAAGATTTATAACTAATCATTTTCAATATAAATTTTAGATAGCGACAGGAGTTTGGCTTTACTTCATATGCAAGTTAATAGAATTATTAGATACAGTGTTTTTCATTTTAAGAAAGAAATATAACCAGGTGACGTATTTACATCTATATCATCACACGCTTATGCCTATATGTGCATGGATTGGAGTCACATTTTTGCCAGGTGAGAGCCTTTAACAAATTTATTAATCTTGTAAACAAAATTTAGCAATTTATATAGGTACTATAATATTATATTTACGTCAGACCCAGGGGTGTTACCCAGGTAGTTTTTTTCTACGTGCGCTGGGTAACGATAAATGAATTAGCAACTTAATTACAAATTAAAAAGTATTTCAAAAGAGAATATCGGATAAAGCAAATGAACAAAAAACATACAGATTTTCTCAGAATCGAACGACTAGAGAACTCGGATCCATAATCTGAGTCTGTTATTTACATAAAAAAACTAAAAACTATTTAAAGAACCATTAAATATATTTCTTTAACTAATAATGACATCAACCTAGTCTTCCCACAGGAGAAACTTTGCAAAACGGAAGAATAACTACCAAAAACAGAGAAAATATCGATCTTTGAAATAACGTGTACCACTAATCGCACGGGGCAATTGATAAGACGGATCGATAAGATTTAATGTTCGTTAAACAAGCCATAAAAACGCCAATATAATTCATCTCTCAAAAATAGTTGGCGCTCAACTCTTCAATCAACTTTCTGTTTACTAAATATTCTGTTATACTGTTAAATTACAATTTTAATTTTCATTTAATATTCTATTTTCTTTATTCGGACCACAAGAGTTGTTTAATATCTATTTTACTACATTTGGCGTTTAAACTGAAAAAAAATTATCATAATAACTCTTTTCGATATCCATGACAAGTAGACCAGACTTGGAAAACTGCGGGAACAGCTCAGAAAAGTTATTGGCACAACAAGAATATTGAAACATATGTTGAAATTATATTCAAGGGGCGCAATTAAGTTTTGAAGAAATCGGAGTCAAGAAATGTAATGAAAAGTGCTCAAGATAGAGCACAATATACAAAAATGAGGAAGTGGAGTATAAACGGCGAATTATTGAAGAGGTCAAATTTTGGTGAACCATCTGGAATTGTCATGAATAACGCCATATATTTTTATTTTATTTCTATTTCTGCGACATCATAGTTAAGATAAATTTACCGTTTGTATTATTTCTAGATTTATTATAGGTATTTATTAATTATATTTAGCTATCTTTAATTACCTATCTTATAAATACTAGATAAAAAAATTACTTTTTAGGTGGTCATGGAACCCTTTTAGGTCTAATAAATTGTTTTATACATATCATTATGTACGCTTATTACTTCCTGTCGTCGTTAGGACCACACTTCCAGAAATACTTGTGGTGGAAAAAATATGTTACCAGTCTCCAAATGGTAAGTGTGTATAAGATATAACCCCACACTGGTTATATATATTTTTTAATTTTTACTTTATACACTAAGATTATTTATACACTAAGATTTTGCTATGAAGCCAGTTGTGATCTTTTACATATTAATAAGTAGAGTTTACTGAGCTTAGGACACAATTGCTTTCATTTCGTGAATTTGTATTCCTTCCACGTTAATCTACTTTTGAGGTACATACCAAGGTATTTGACATGAACATCTTGTTGCAATTGCTGGTTACTTAATGGCACAGGTGGGAGTATATTTCTTTAGAAAGTAAACTGGACACTGCTGTGGATTATCTTACTATATACATACAGAAAGCTTGCTGGAAATCTAGCCCACCACTCAACAATAAACCTAACAGAGGAGTTATGTCCTGAGCCCATTACTTAAAAAATGAAAGAAAAGAGAAAATTTAAACAGACATGGCGAAACAATCAAACACCGACCAATAAATCTACATTTACCAAAGCAGAAAAATACCTAAAAAAATTATGTTACTTAAAAAATACTACAAAATACCTGATGAATACCTTTAGAAGGTTACCAGAAAAGTGTTACGATCACAATAACATATACCACCCATCATAATGAGTAACGAACTTTTGGCACGCACTGATGGCGAAAAGGCAAATGTATTTCTTTAACTCCTGGAAACTACCTTTACTTCATTTCTCTCTGAATTAAAATCAGAAGAAGAGAAAAAGATTCATAGATATTTGGACTGCCCACACCAGATGTAGCTGCCTATTAAACTTAGATATATTATCGTTTTTTGACAACGATTTCCGAAGTGGAAATCGAAACGTCAAAATAACCTTATTTTAACTGAAATTGTGAGTAATTTTCATTAAACATAGTAGACAATATTAAAATGTTACAAGAAAATGTCTTTCAAACAAAATTAAATAAAAGTGTAATCAAAAAAATAAAATTGTAAGGTGAAGTGGGATAAATATGATCTACTTTTTGATTAGTTCAACTTTCATTTATTATAACACTGTAAAAAAACGTTTTAAAAATTTATCAAAAAAATCATATACTCTTTGAACGGTTTTGTATTCATTGTGTAGAAAAAAATTAAATAAACTTTAGTGTTGTTAATGTTGCATGATGTTTTTTAAAAACATATCAATATATCACATTTACCCCAGCGACAGAGGCAAATGTGAAGAAAGTTTACATTTTTGTATTAAATATTATATTTGATAGTCTGGGGTTATTGTATAAAAATGTAATTCAAGCTCTCTACTTGTGTTTTTTTAACATTTATTTTGTTGAAAAAATACTTTTTTTCATTCTTTCTCCCCTTTCTTTTACCCTATCAGGGTGTCGGATTTGGGCTAGCTATTTTAATTTCCATTTACCCACCTCTTCCATTCTTTTCTGTTTCCTGCCATTATTTTCAATTCCTCGAGTGATTTTTGTTTAAATTTTCCCGCCTCTACTACTTGCTGTATCCATTTTTTTCTTGGTCTGAATCTTTTTCTTTTTCCGATATTTTTTGCTTCATAAACTTTTTTTGTTATTCTATTGGATTGCATCCTCGTCAGATGCCCATACCAGTTCATTTGTCTCTTTGCTATTTTGTTCATTATCGGTTCCTGGTTGGCCATTCTCCTAATAGTCTCGTTGCTTAATCTATCCCATTTTGTCTTTCCAACTATCCTTCTTAGATGTCTCATCTACATTGCGTTTATCCTGCTCTTATGTTTTTCCAGAATTGTCCAGTTTTCACTTGCAAAGAGCACAGTCGGTATCACTATTGTGTTATATATTTTTATTCTTGTCTCTCGTGTAAGTTCTCTTTTTCCCATTATTGGGGCTAACGCATAGTATAACTTGTTTGATTTCTTTGCTCTATTTGTTATTTCCCAGTCTATTTTTCCATCATTAGTTATTAAACTTCCCAGGTATTCGTAAGTTGATACTATTTCCAATTCTGAGTTTTTACATTTTATCTTTATTTGATTATTTTCCTGATATCCATTGCCGCTGATTATCATTATCTTACTTTTTTCCTCGTTTATCTCCATTTTTAGTTCTTCTATTTGTTCTACCCATATATCCATTAGTTATTGCATTTTATTCTCGGAATCTGCTATTAGTACTATGTCATTTGCATACATTAAGGACTCTATTGTTACCGGTTGTAATCTGTGGTAACCTATTATTGTCTGTAGTTGATTGGTTCTGATTCTAGCGTTTCTTAACAATTCGTTCATTACTATTATGAATAGCAAAGGGCTGAGACTATCTCCTTGTTTAATACCTCTCTTCCAATTAAATGCTTCCGATCTTTCCCCTGTTATTTGTACCCTTCCTTCTACCTCTTTGTAAGTACTTTCTATAATTTTTATCAATGCATTAGGTACATTTATTTTTCTCAAGCATTTCCCTATAATATGTCTTTCTATCGTGTCAAATGCTGCTCTTAGGTCTATGAATGCTAATACTAGTTTTTCGCCTGTATCTATGCTTCTTGTTGAAAAAATACAAAATACAAAAGAATTTAAAATTTTCGAAAACAATGTCATAAAAATATAATAAAATTAAACAAACTCTCCAAGTTTTCTTTCAGTTAATGTTGAATGGTAAAACCTTTAAAGGTAACTGGAAATTCGTACAATCCACGTCTGTCGACGGTAGGATCTGGTAGTACTTTTATAATATCCTGTTGTTGTACAGTATCAATGTCAGGATTTATTGACCATACAAATTTGTTTCCTTGAGGTCGTGTAAATTTAAATATCCACTTATCATTCATATTTTCTGATACAATTCCCACATAAGGCTTGTTTATCTTTTTTGGGCAATATTTTACCAATACCCAACATCCGACATATACATTCACACTTTTTGTTGAATTTAAATTCTCTTTGTCTTCTTCGTCATCATTTGCAGCTATTTCTACATCTGGCTCTGATTCCAAAAGTGTATCTAGAAATTCGTCGGTGTTATCAGAATTCATTAATATTGCGTACATTGACTCATCGTCTTCGCTGCTGCTAAATGATAATGACTCTCGTTTATTTCTTTTTTTGTTCTTTGTCTTAGTTATCTTATGAATTTTAGTACCATTTCCTTTTTGTTGAGATTTCTGTTTTAAAACATCAATAGCTTGTTGTGATGTCAATACTTCAGATCCAGGGCATAACCGTTTCTTATTTTTGGTTGGTGCGTTTGGAAGTTGTTGTACTGTTGATAACAATAAATCTTCAAATGTTACATTCTTATTTTCAGTTAAACTTGTACATGAAATTGATTTAAGTTCGTCGACTCTGGTAGAGATATTTTTTACTTTGTCGGGAGTGGTAGTTTCGATTAGAGCATCAGGCCTAGGTTCTTTGTTTTAATAAAATACTTATTGAGTTACTTTAGTTGGTACCAATACTTCATTACCATTTTCGTGTATAGATAATCTGGAACGTTTTATCATCTTCTACTTATTAAGCAAGCAGGGTGGAAATGATGTTTCAGGGATGATGTGACGATTAAAAGGAATGATTCGGTCTTTTTTAAAGCCGTTGATAATTACTTAGGAGTTCACCTGTTTCCAAGTTGTACACAAAAATTGGGAAAATATTTGTTTTGGTAATTTTTGGCCTACATGCTGCCGATGCCAGGCAACAAGTTTTTCATCCCATTTAACTTTAAAGGATTTAAAAACAGCCAGGTCTATTGGCTGTAAAAGGTGGCTGGAATGGGGTGGCAGTTTTAGAATTATATTGTGTTCTCGCATAGCGGCTTCTAACGTCTCGATATTCATATGAGTGGAATGTCCATCATAAATAATTAATATTGGTCTTTCAGATGGAAGTGATGGAGTTATAGTGTTTATGAAGTAATTTTTGAAAACGGCTTCTTCCATCCAATCTTTTTTTGTCGCTGCATAAACAGTACCCTCAAAATCAGTACCTATCCATTGATCCCATAAGAACAAACCCTTATAAATTATTAATGGTGGAGCTTTTTGGCCATCTGCATTACACATAAGAGCAATTGTGGTATTTTCTTTACCAGGAGAACTTATTGCTCTTGATGAAGGTGTATTTATACCTCCCACAACTTTTGTCAATGGGGTTCCTGGGTCAATTTCCTGGGGTCAAGCTACTCTCGTCCAAATTCCAGATTCTCTTAGGTTTGTCGTGAAGACCATATTCGTCCATTATTGATTTTAATAAATCATAAAATTGGTATATTATAAAAGGATCAAGAGCCTTTTTTCGAGAGTATTCCACGTTTTGTGGAACTTTAGTACTTGATCTATACCTCTGTTTAAACCCCAAAAATCAATCTTCGCCTGGAACTCCATCCTTAAAATTAGTTTCAATATGGTTAGTCTTTACAAAGTTTCCTACAATTTCTAATACTTCTTTCCTTGATAAGCCGTATCCCCATTTCTCCATCGTTTTTAGACCATTGGCTAATCTAACTTCGTTAGCAGTAGAAATTGACGTTGGACGTCCTTTAGTTGCTTTTACTGCTCCCCGTTTACCTTTTACACGGGAATGTAGAGTCACATATGGTATTTTGTATAATTTTGCGGCCTTATAAATTGATGTTCGACCTGCTAAAACATCAGACATTGCAGCGTTGAGATCAGCTGCCGAATATTTTCCTACTTTTGAAGTTTTTCTTTTGTAGCAGCGAACCATGGTATCTATAACAAAAAACAAACCTTGTAAAACTTGCCATACCACTGTTTAAATTTTAAATTCAAGAAGTTCTATAAACGGGGTAAATGTGATATACTAATGACACATTTGCCCCAATCTATAATAATACATTTACCCCGACACCAAAATTCCAAGGAGCAAATATGTGTTATAACAAAAATTCGAGGTTAATATTAAGTTTTTATTTAAATAACGGGGTAAATGTATAACAAATTCTGTGTTGAATTCGAACACACTCGTCGGCTATCCCTACTCAACTAAAATTCTTATCTAATTCAGGTTCCTTTCAGGTTCCGTCTAATAGGTGGCACACTCGTAATTATTTAAATAGCCATTTTTAAATGTACTATTACAATTGCTCCATTATCACATTTACCCCACTTCACCTTAATAAAATAAAAAAGATAGCTATTAAAAACATAACAAGTTTAAAAATTGGCAGATTATGTAATAGAGTTCTGTTAAACATTACATTTTATGTAAATATTTGCACATCGATAAATAATATAATTTTTTTTACTTTTCAGATCCAATTCTGTATTGTTTTCTGGCATAACTTCCAAGTACTCTTTAGACAGTGCGATTACCCAAAGTTTTTGAATGTCCTTCTGGCTTCCCAAGCGGCATACTTTCTCTATTTGTTTGGGTGCTTCTACGTAAATAGTTACATAAAAAACAAAAGACCGAAAACTGACAAAGGTCAGAACGGAGAACTAGCAAATGGAGTTATCAAAAACGGATTGAATAATGGGCATATGGGAAATGTGTGTTCTCGGGAAAGCGGGAAAGCTAAGGCTACTTAGGTTGATTTAACTTTTTAATTTTTAAAACTTAAAATTATTCAGAATTTAGATATATATATATATATATATATATATATATATATATATATATATATATATATATATAATTAGTTAGGTATTTTATTTTATATAGGTGGAAACTACACAGTAGATACTATTTAATATATTGATGAACATCTGGTACAAATATTCAGATATCTGTGTAATTAAAAAAAAATTCCTTAAACGTTATCTGTCGAAAGAGTCTCTTGTAGAGTCATTCCACAGTCATTCTACATTGAATTTTTCCTCGGTGATTTCCTGTAAAAAATTTTGTTTTGGTGTTATTTTCATTTTATCTTTGTACTAGTTTGTGTTCAGTGCCTGCGTCTGCTGAGTTTAAAGTTCGGATATCTAGAATTTCCTTTGGGTGGATTTTTCTATTAATGACTATAAAATCAATCATAGATTTATGCCCCCTGGAGTTTTCAAATGTATATTTATACTGGAGCTTATGGTCGAAAAATGTATTATTGAGTTCGTTAAAAGCGTAGAGATTAGCCATGAGTTCTCCATTTGCGTTGACATGAGTTTCATTAAATTTTTGTTTTACTCCTGGAACTATGTATTTCATTTCCAATTCGTGCATTAAATTCACCCATAAGAATTAAGGGCTCTTCATGAGGTATTTCAACCAGGATGGTTTGCAATTGTTCGTAGAATGCCTCTCGTTCCTCCTTAGGTTTGCAGTCTGTCGTGTTATCGAAGAGGGGTTACAAATAATAATCGATACTTCACTTAAGTATCTGCTACAATTAAATTTTTTCCCGGCGTGTAGATTACAGTATACTTGTATCGCATTAAGCTCGTTCGAAATCTTTGCAAACGTGGCGTTAACTCATCTAAATTTTTAGTTTGCAGAATTTGTAGTAAAGGTTTATGGTCTGTTTCAAAAATTAGGTTAGAAACTCCTGAAATAAAATCGTAAAAATATTCTGCTGCCGAGGTAAGTGCAAAAGCTTCTTTCTCAATCTGAGTATATCGTGTTTCAGCTGAGTTCAGAAGCCTAGATGTAAAAGCCACTATTTCCCGAGTATGATCTACATTTTCTTGAAATAGGCATGCATCTATAAATAGCTTGAGTCTGCACTAACAATTATGGTTTTATTAGCATCAAAAAACGCTAGATTTGGAGAGCTCTCTAACTTTTGTTTTAAAGTGCTGAAAGCTTTATGTTGTGCTGGCCCCCACAAAAAGTTGAATATTTTTTTTTAGTAAGTGTGTTAATGGTTCAAGAATCTCAGATTTATTATGAATGTATTTTGCAGTAAAATTAATCATACCCAGCCATCTTGACAGCTCGGTCTTATTTTTTGGTTCAGGAAAATCACGGATAGCTTTAACCCTATCTGGATCAATTAATATCCCTTGCTCAGAGACCATATGACCTAAGTATTTAGCTGTTTTTGTTTCTATAGAGCATTTGTTTTTATTTAGTGTAATACCTTCCTTATGAAGTTTTGTTAGGGCTGTGTTCAAAATATTGTCATGTTCCTCTATTGTCCTTGCATGAATAAGAATGTCATCTATATGGACAACACAGCCTTCAATGCCAGTTAAGATTTTTGAAAATCTCATAGTAAAATACTCTGGGGCACAAGATATACCAAATGGAAGCCTTTTAAAGAAAAATCTGCCAAAAGGTGTTATAAAAGTTGTTAACAACTGACTTTCCTTATTCAATTTTATTTGGTAAAACCCACTTGTGGTATCCAATTTTGAGAAGAATTTAGACTCTTTCAACTGTGCTAGTGTATGAGATATTTCCCGAGAGGAAAATGTGACCGTAACACGTTTTCATTAAGTTTAGTATAGTCACCACAAAGCCGTACACAATCTCCCTTGTCCACACAAACAATTGGGCTGACCCAAGAAGTAGGATCTTCAATGGGTTCAATTATCCCTAATTTTAGCAATCTATCAATTTCAATTCTTAATTTTGGTAACAGAGGTCAGTTCTGGGAACGCTCTGTACATAAAGTTTAGCATCTGGCTTAATTCTAATTGACATTTCTATTTTAAATTCACCTATATCACTAAAAATACCAGGAAATGTTTTAGCAACAGACTCTAAATTAAATTTTGAAAACATATTAGTACTCCTAGATTGATTACAATGAACAACACTGCAACTGATTTGATTTACCTGTTTAAGATTACATTTAGAAAAATTTAGAACATTAAACCTAATGATTGACTCTCTGCTTAATATAGGTTGTCTCAACTTCCTAATACAATATATCGTTTCATCATTTGTAAAACCGTCATAAGTAAATTTTATGTGTAGCTTACCCACTGTGTCCAATTTATGATCGTCCGCTGCACCAATTGCATCACATGCCACAATTTTACCCATATATTCTGGAGGTAATTTTTCATAGGGAAAACAGTTAACATCTGCTCCTGTATCCACAAAAAAGGTACCTTAAATTTGTCATCCAATAAGATGTCTACATACCAACGATCCTTCTTGTCTAGGTACACTTGGCTAATAAAGGAATCTGTATGTACCACTTGATTTACTGAATCCCTTCCTTCGTCGTCTGTACTACTGCTACTGGTGGACCTTGAACACTTAACAGCTCTGACAGCTTTCTTCCTGCACATCACACTCCAATGACCTCTACGCGAACAAGATCTGCATTCAGAGAACTTGGCTGGACATTTCTTCCTATTTTTACATGTAGGTATGCCACAGTATCCACATCTGTAACCTTGATGTCTTTTATCACTACGCTTATTGTAGTCCTGTTTAACTGCACTAACTGACTGCTCCTGTCTCATAATTCTATTTTGACTATCTTTAAGTTCAGCTTGGCGTGCTATTTGTATTGCCTTTTCTAGTGTCAAACCATCATTTGGTTGCATTCTTTCGCTCACCTTTTTATCAGCTATTCCGATAACAATCCTGTCACGAATTAACTCATCTTTAAGATCTCCATAGCTACAGTGCTCTGCAAGAGTATGTAGACTTGAAATAAAGTTTCCCACAGGTTCTCCTGGCTTTTGTACCCGTGAATTAAATTGAAATCTCTCAAAGATTATATTTCTTCAGGGAATAAAATGATTGTCGAAAATCTGCATTACATCTTGAAAGGATGCATTCTCCCCTGGTTGATTTTGAAGTAAAATATCTTCTGCTTCATTTCCCATTAAATACAACAATAGGTCTAGTTTATAGTTGTCAGATTTTTATCCAAATCCAATTACAGACATATATCTCTCAACCCTTTTCTTCCATTGGTGATGTGAAATAAACACTTCTTTATTTATTTGGATAGGTGCATCCATTTTAAGGATTTTAGGTCCCCTCTGATTTATAGGTTATGCATAAGATTTGCACTGCTGTCACGTTCGATCACTCTTTGCTTGTTTAATGTTAACAAAACAAAGCACCAGCTGCCACCATATCGTGTTATCGAAGAGGGGTTACAAATAATAATCGTTACTTCACATAAACATCAGTTTAATCTCAACCCTAAAACATACATTCATGCCCGAGCTTCGGCTACCTTCACATGATATGTCTAACCCCCGTCATCCGTATTGCCTAACTCCGGCACCTATATCTTAAACTAGGCTAACAACACACAGTCCTCGGGGCTATAGATAGATATGACATTTAATTCTTGTTAGTCCATTGTGATGTTCATATTTATTATTCTTTCGGAGATATAACGGCAGTTATTTATGTTGTCTTTAAATTTTTTATGGACAAGTATACGTACGCCTGCTCGTGCTCGTTCTTCTTTCTTCACTCCACTGTATGCTAGGAAGTATTGGTTATATTCTCTTTGGTCTTTACCTTTCTTCTTGGTTTCTTGGATTGCACAAATGTCTATGTTTTTATTTATCAGTTCTTCTATTATCTGTTGGTCTTTGTTGTTGAAAGAAGTAATGTTCCATGTTGCTAATCTGATTGTGGACTTATCCTTCTCGTTTTCTTTTTCTTTGCGTGGTTCGTCATCTTAGGTGTCGTCTGGTTCCAAGGCTTAATATCGGTTCTTTGAGCCTTGTTTCCTTTTACAATGGGTAGGATACTAACCTGGCCCATCAACTCTGGAATATGGATCAACTCTGGATCAACTGGAATAAAATGATTTTATCCTATATAGGAGTTTATATCTTGAATCTTCAATGCAATGATTTAATGAATTGGTTACTTTTTGATATTAATCCTGACATCAATAAGGGTCCTCTAACATTAATGAAATTATTATATTCCCCAATTAAATATATTTATCAGTAATTAATTTACACTAAAACATTTGAGTGTAACATTTATTGGTATTTACTGTGTACGTTTTGTTGTCTGTGATTTTAAGAAAAATTCGGGGGTTCAGCAACCAATTTTTGCAGATCACTGACAGTTCGATATCGTGCAACTAGTGGTTTCCGTAAAAATGTTTAAATTAATTATACAGGGTGGTCCTTAAGTAATTGCACAAAAAGAAACCGTAGATTCTGCACTTTAAAATATTACGATTTAAGTCAACTTGCTTTAGTAAAATGTTGATATTAAGAAGGATACAGGGTATTAAAGTGGAAATTTAAAATTTTATTTTTCGCTATAACTTTCAAGTTTGTAAATATTTATGGACAAAAATTTACAATTGGATGCTTTTAAGTAGGAGAAATTATAATTTTCTTTTTAAGTTAGCCCTATTTTAATTAAAAAATATTAAAGACACATTATTTTTACAAAGAAAAGGTATACTTGTTAATAGCTTCAAAATTCAACCATTTTTGAGATAATCGCATTTTATAAGTCAGCTGCATAATTATTCTTAGTTGTGATAATTTTGCGGCAAACCACTGAATAAGCATAATTATTAGTTTGTTCTTATTAAAATAACTCAAATATGATATGCCGAATGCTTTGAATATCCCGAATCGAATATCCCGAAATTCCTTCTTCTTTGAGTGCCGTGTTTGTATTCAGAAGTTGGCCGTCATCATGTTTACAATTTCCTGTATAAATCGCTTTTATTTTACGTTTAAGTTTCTATGCTGGCGTTGTATTACTTTTTCTTTATTGTAAAATCCTGAGGTGAGCGTCTCGGAAGAAGCGCTACGATACGGCGTCACAAGCGCTACGTGACGCCGTAGCGCTCACGCTATGGCGTCACGTTTAAAGTTAGTTGTCAATAAATTCCTTTCAAACTATAATCAAATTGTACTTTTAAACGTCTTATTTATTTTATATAAAAAATAAATTTACTATCAAATTAATGATCGAAGTGATTTACTATCAAATTAATGATTTACGATCAAATTTATATTTCAATAATAACTTAATATATTAAGTCTCACTTTGACGGGTCTGTATTTTGTTGATACGTTAGCAGGTGGCGCTACTAGCAAACTTAATTTATTGAATTATTTTAATATAATATAATTGGTTTAAAATATAAATAATAAATAAATAATAAAGTTACTTTATTAAATGTTAAAAACATTATTTAAAAAATATAGAAAACATGATATGAAGGTAAGTGCTAGTCTACAGTGTCAGCTATTATACCTACCACGTTTTTTTAGGTAGTTATTATGCCAGTAGACAACCCCAATGCATTACGGAAAAATTTACAGTAGGCTGATGTCACAAAT